TTTGCTAAACTTGTATTTTTATACCGATCACCAGAAACATTAATACGCTTTACGAAACCAAAGTCAGAATAAAATAATTGATTATTTAACAAAAAGAATGGACACAAAATTTCTATTACTTAATCATTTTTGTTTTTGTTGCTTCTTTTTTGTGATATGTATTGTGAGTTTTTCTTGATTGTTTTCCTTTTTTTTTCGTTTATTGCTCAAAACTGAAGACACGATGTTTTTGTTTATTAAGCTTCTATATTGGTGATTATTATGCTTCAATGTAATTCTTCAAACAGTTGTTTTTATGTATTTCACAGATAAAATAAAGTGTGCAATATGCTCACGATATTCTTTTTTTGTTTTTGAATGAATTTTTCAAAATAAGATTTCATTTTGGCTATAGGAAAGAAATATTTCATTGAAAAAAAAATATGCATTAGGTATAAGAGAACTGTATTATCTTGTAAGCATCTATTTATTGTAGTGATATTGGCTTCCTATGAGTGATATAAGTATTCGAAACTCTTATACAAAGATTTATGTTTCTGGCATTGGTTCACATCATCAGATGTATCTTTAGATAGTAAATAATATAGTCTGACTGTGTCAAAAGAGAATTATGGCACAGTGAAATTAGCTCTCATCCTCAGCTAGATCTCATCTTGATCTTCAACATTGGCTTCATGATTTCTATTTTATCTTAAAAAGAATGTCGGAATCTATAATAAAATACTGGAAAATGGTGTGGGTGTAGGTATGACTGAAAAAACAAAGACGCACCTGTACCATATCCACCCTTGAAGATAAACATGCAGACAAACGAGAGGGATAATGCTGTTATTGTGAGTGAAGTATGAGCTATCTTTTTTGTATCCTCATCGTTCTTTGTTCATAACTTTTCGTTTTTTTATTTATGAGTTGCCTGATGCGTTCTCTATTCTTCTCATTGTTGTTTCTTCTACGCTCTACACGTTGGCAGTGCACATTATCGTTATTTTTCTTGATTATGAATTAGATCGATGAATTTCGAATCATTGGTTAACGAGCTCTTACTCGATTTATTCGAATTTCTTATAGTACAGCTCAACTTCCACATTCGTTTCATTGTCTCAATTCTCGTTTTAATCGTCTTCTTTTGGATCATTTTTCCACACACAATATCGACTTTCGATCAATATCGAAGCAGAATTTTGAGATTGTTTGTTAACAATATCTTCCATTAATTCGCAATAGAATTCTTTCACTTCTTTACAATCACTTTCATTTCGTAATCTTTGCTTTGTGGATATTATGAATAGAATGATGATAGAATTACATGACTTATCAAATGTAACTCATTTCACTTTGGAGCATTGTCATTTTGAATATAATAGAACACAAGCAATCTCATTCTTGAATAATATTTGGAGCCTAACCAAACTCTCATTTTGTTATTTTGATATTGAATTTCAATATGAACATATTTTTTATACACAAATAAAGATTTCATCATCATTTAAGCTATTATCTATCGAATCTACTCAATTCTCTATTCGAATATAAACGTTCTATTCGACATTTGATCATATCTTTCGATTCCGATTCGTTTACAGAATACTTGATATTAGCAAGTCCATCAATAATCATATTAAATGTATCGTTCTATTGGTTAAAAGAAAATTCAGCAATCAATTTCTTACAAAATATGTCAAATTTATGTCGATTGAAATTGTACATACGTTGTTTTTATATCGATGGGTATCAATGGGAAAAAATGATCAGTAATCATTTATCTAAATTGAAAATATTTCAATTCAAAATAGAATCTAAACTTGTTCCAAATGATACTCGTATATCGATCGATGATATTATTCGAACATTTTGAAGTCGATTTTGGCTCGAAGAACGTCGCTGGTTTGTTCGATACTGAATAAAATATGCCTTTTTTCCTGTTTTTTTGAGTTTTTAGAGAAATAAATAGAAAATATATGTCTTTTAAGCCTTCAACTCTCTGGAATTGATATAATAATTGTTCCTATATATAAATAAAGCATTGTTGCCTTTCTAAACCGATTCTTCGAGTCACATGACAATGATTTCTGGACTAAGGTAAAAAGTTGGTTCTGGTCGGGAAAAACAGTTTTTTCTTTGGGAGTACATTTTTATGCAAAATAAACCTTATATTCGTGATCAGCATGATCGATAACATACGACTAGATCAATTTGGGTCACAACAAAAAAAAAAGAAATTTTTTCCCAAGGGGACCAGGGCAAAAATTTTTTTGTTTTTCAAAAAAAATATATAGTTTTGTTCAGAATTTAATGCTGATTCCAACCATATAATTTTTTTCAAAAAATGTTGAGATCGAAAAATGGCCTTATCGCCACTTGTCCTTTGATCCCAGTATTTCCTAGAAAAAAAGCATTGGGAAATGTTAAATTCATAATAATTTTTATTCTACATATCGAGATCTATCAGCCGTGGAAATTTAAAAATTTTCTGATGAGTCATTCTCGAACAACCTCGAAAATGGGGGTGGATCTTCTTAATGCGAGAGTGGAAATGTATTCGATGATTAGAAGTAATTATACCATCTTATTTGTGTGTTACTTTATTATTTCAGCATTATTACTTATAACCGATAGTAAGTAATAGTAATAGGCAACTCTTAATACATGACATATTATTTGGTTTATTTTTGCACATTGTTTTTGAGGGAAATACGAATTTATTGGAAGAGTTCAACATCTATTATCTTTTGTATTTCCATATTAGCTACGCCAAATATTTCTTGTACTGTGATCTTTACAATTAAATATTAATGATGAAAATAAAGTATAGATCGATTTAAAAAAGAATGCGAATGAAGTATTTGTTACCAGTCATAGTCAATGATTTACAAAAATCCTTTTTCTAAATTATTTCATATTTCGTCCAAAAAATTCTGAATTTTATGCTTTTGATTTGCTAATGTTGCAAATATAGTACTTTCAAAACAAAAGCATTTTCTGTCGATTATACGCATTTTTTATAAATAACTAAACTGAAGTATTTTTTTTTCGAAGAAAAAAATCTGTAGTATTTGATAAGAGAAGAACGAGATTAATATCCATTGTAGTTTTTTTTATCCGTATTCATTCTTATTAAAAAAAAGTTCTGACAAAACACACAAACTATAATTATGTCACGAAGAGCACAAGTTGAAAATATCGAAAAAGAAGACGCAAAAGCGGAGGTAACCTTTACTGATTTGACTATTTTTGTTAGAATTGTGTTTTTTATGATTTTTATCTTACAGCTTCCGAAATTAGAAGAGGAAAAAAAGGTGTTGGAAAAACAATTTGATGAAGCGCTCGAAAAAGGTGAAAATGCTGACAATGACATGGATGCAGCTATACAAAATAAAATTGCTGACAGCTTGGAGGCAGATTTACAAGATCTCAACAAAGAGATCGAAGAAACAAAGGCAAAAGCTGATGATAAATCACCATAATTTATATTATAATAAACTGATGTTTTTTTTTAAGTTCAAATAAACTTTTTCGGTCTTTTTTTTAATTCATTATGATCAACAAAAATTTAACGAGCATCGATTTTGTTCTTAACTTCCTATTATTTCAAAACCTTAGACTTATTCATATTTCAGTAATTAAACACACTCTTGAATGATATATAAACAAATGTTTGTGTATGAATATTATATATTCACATATTCTTTTCTGAAATAGCGATAACAAGTTTGAAAGAAAAGAACTTAAATAACATTAATGTAATAAGAAATAAATAAATCATCGTTTTATAGTTTAATATAATTTATTCATGTCTTTATCTTTCAAAATTACTTGTTTTTGTTATTGTAGAATGGCAGAGTATTTCTGGTAAAATGAAGATTTTTCATGGGTATTTATTTTTCATTGCTAATATCTCAGTTATCTCAAAGACTAAAATTTTCGTTTTTCTACTTGAAGAAAGAAAGTTGATTTCTGTCTCTACTCATACAAAAAAGACGCTTGTTAAACAATTTTTTCAGCAAAGAATAAGCTAAAGCTTTAGTAAATAATACATTTACTGATTATTACTTGCATATTTCAATGGAAATTTTTAAAGACAATGCTATGCGATTCATTATCTTCAACTCTGTCTAAATATAGAGGCCTAACTCTTTCAATTCTATTTTCTATATTTAGTGATTTTTTTTAAAATTTATTATCTATTAACTTTTTCTGTAAACTAAGCAAAACAAACTCACTAGTCATTGTGACTTGTGACAGAATACTCATGAACACTATAAAACTCATGTTTATTTTCGAAGAAAGTATACTTGAAAGTACGTTTTAAGTTAGAATTTTCATATCTTTTGCTCGTTCTTCCATTATAGACATTAGCGATATAGAATAGAAATATCTAGATTACCTCAAGATCAGTGTTTGTGAAGTGATCGTAATATAATTATAAAATTTGTTCTATAGTTTCTGTCAATATAATGAATATTTGTGATTGTCCTCTTTGTGAGTCAAGTCAATGATTACAATAGTGATAATGTTCAATTAAGAAAAACAAAATACTAAAATGAAAAATAACAAAAGAATAGAAACAATACAAAAAAAAAATAGGGCACTCGCAAAAAAATCTGCTCGAAATGCAGAAATAAATAAAAGAGATTCTTGCTTTGAAGATCGATTGTCTCGAAGAAAAAGTATAATCTACAAGATATTTTTTTACTTTATACATTTTTCATTAATTTAATGAGACTAAAGAATATACATGAATTTTACATTCGAGTCTTTTGTTCGGCTGCATTAACAAGCTTTTTTTGAATATCAGACTGAGACAACACTATAATCTCACGTTTGCTCTTTGTTATATTTTTAATCATTTGTTAAATGTATTTCAATTTTCACTTATTTTTGTGCTCTTCTTACTTTTGAGTAAGGTATTTGAAGACTGTATACTGATTAGACATGTATGCAGGACTAAAACAAAATTTTCTAGTTCCAATCAAAGATTTGCTTACGATTTCATTACTTTAATTGTTATATCATAGTTTGACCATGCATTTTATAGAGAAATATTTATTCTGTCTGTCTCTCTATTTTAAATTTTCCTGCAAAACTTTCGCTATCCATTAATTTAACAAATAAAACAACCGGAACTAGATTTGTGGGACCAACCAGGACCACGCCGGTTTCGATCGTTGTATTTGCTAAATTATTGGATAATAAAAGCTAGTATGAAGCTTTGAAATATACTGGCAGATAGGTCAAACAATAACATAACAATTAAAGTAATTAGATATCAAATGAATTTGTGATCGAGACCAGAGAATTTTTTTCTTTTGATCTCGTGCACATCTGTAGTATTAATCGTATTAGCTATTTGAATTAATGGAAGAGCGGCGGAACGTATTCCAAATCTATCGCAGTTCAGTAATTTTTTTTTATTATCTTAAGTAACTTTTTTATAAATGCCTTCATTGATGAAAGCATTTATAAGTCTCTATAGAACTAGACAAATTTCGAAAATAATAAACATTATCTATTTCACTTTTATAGCATACTAACAATTCAACAAAAAAAAAAAACTTTTCTTTTCTCATTTAACGATAAAAACAGTTAGTACTATTTGATTTGGATCTATTTCATCAAGTTTCCCATTATATACATTGAATGTACGTTCAGTGGTTGCTGCGATTACAGGTATTGCTAACTAAAATTTACTTAATTTCTGATATTCTGAAAACATTTATCTATCAACTCGAGAGAAAACTTTTTTTTGTCTGATTTTATCTGTAATAATATGATATAATAATTGAAACACGAAAAATGTTATGGTAATAATCTATTGTCCTAATATATTTATAAAAAGTAGAATAGATCGTTAAAATACAAGAATTAGAAATTAAAATAAGTATACAAATAAACTTTTTTAAACGATAATTATTATATTGTTTTTCGTAAAGTTTTTATTGTTATGACTGTGCTTTAAATCAAAATAGAGAAATGATTGATATTTCACGAAAAGAAAGGCAAAAGTTTGAATGCATATAGTTCTGCCATTTATTGCATTATTCTATAATTAGTTTAGTTTTTATATCACTCTAAATAAATAAAACAAAGATATTGCGACAAATTATGATGATATAAATAGTGGGCTTTAGTATCAAATTCAGTTTTTGAGTTTACTTCTTCACTATAGATAAATAAACGTGTAAAAAGTTTCAATATCTGAACTAATATAAAATTGATCTAGCTAAATAATACCAGATTCAAATTTGGTCAATCCCAGAAATCCTAAATCTGGTGAGGCTCAAGTCTATAAACCTTTCCGTTCCGCCGTCTACCACTAAGTTATCTATATGAAGTGATTTTATGAATTTTACTTTTTATTGTAATTCATCCGATGATGAAATGACGATACTCAAGAACTATCTTGGCATGTCAGTGTCGATACTCACAGTGACTGTTACGCTGCTATAGAGGCCCGAATATTCATTTACATTAGATTAGATGTAGACTTTCTTTTCATTGGATATTCGAATCTTTTATTTTAATTCGTCTTTATAAGTTCTTTGTATTGAAATAATATATAAACAATGTACATACATTCTATTCATTAACAATAATCTATTCAAACTAAACATGAGTCGTTCAAATATTAGTATGATGGACCTTCCTGACGAAATGATTTTAGCTATTTGGAATAAACTGAGTAAAATTGATGTACTATATTCATTTGTGGGTGTTCATCAAAGATTCGATAGATTGGTTCTTGATAAAACCTACACTCAGTCTATTGAATTAATAAATTCAAATGTTAAACATAAACATTCAATGATTGTTTCAATACTTGATCGTTTCTATTCATATATATTACCTCAAATACATAAATTTGTTGAAAGTCTCACTCTTGAATCAATCTCAATGGAACGAGTTCTTTCTGTTGGTACTTATCATCATTTACGAAAGCTAACAATCATCAAGATCGATCAAGAGTTTGCATTATGTCATTTTACTGGTAAGAAAATTGTCTAATTTATTACTTTATTTAGAATTTTATAATTGTGTTTAGATGAGTCTCCTTTTAGTGAAATTTTTAAAAAACAAATAACTCATCTAACAGTTTCAATCATTGATGCAGAACCAACATCATCATTGATTGATTTGACCACTAATATTTTTGCTCGGATCTTTTCCTTATTCAAAAATTTAACTGTATTAGATTTCGGCTCGACTGGTCGTCGACGACATTATTCACGATTAAAAATATTTGATCCATCTTTAATGATTTGTTTCTCACCGAATATTGTTCATTTACGTATTGGTGTGGATACATTTGATGAGTGTTTATGTTTACTTGATGGTCGTCTGAATTATTTACGAAGATTCGTCGTTCGAATTTCCAAAATCTATGCTTCCAAATTGACCATCGATAATAGAGTAAGAAAACCGATTAAGAATTACAAAAAAAAAGATCTTCTTGTTTTGACGTGATTTTTAAAGGTTTTAACGAATTTGAAGAGTTTTTCACTTACTTCATACATTGAAACAAGAGAGTACGATAGTCAAGTAGTTGTACTTCTTCGTCGAATGGTATTTCTTGAAGAATTAACATTACGTCTCAACGTTTGTGATCGATTGACATTCGTTGATGCAACACAATTGAATAATGAAATTCTCATTCATATGCCACGACTTCAAACATTAACTTTTAATATTATAACTTTCATCAAAACATTCAACGGAACAAATCGAAAGACAATCAACAACATTCAATATACATTTTATAATGGAAAAAACCATCAACTCGTTTATTATGTTGATTTTTATGCACGTGGAAAGGCTCAATCTCATATCTATTCAATTCCATATGTATTAAATGATTTGAACAATATCAGTAGCAATTTTCCTGGAGGATTATTTTCATGTGTTCGTGACATATCATTAATTGATATTGAATTTCCATTTGAGCATGATTTCTTCTTGAAAATTAGTCGTTGCTTTCCATTACTTACTCATCTATTTGTCTTAAACATAGTATCACAAAAACACAAACGACCGTCTCAACTAAACACAACTGATCAAATCTCACCGATTGTTGAATTTCCTCATCTGATCAGTCTTCGTATCTCTCAGGGATGTATTGATTATATGGAGCAATTTCTTATTGATACGAATACACATTTACCACATCTTGTTGAACTTAATATTCATTATGAACATTTATTAATTGTAACAGAAAATTTCACTCGTAATGCAACACGTAGAAATTGTGTCAATGTACAACATTTGATTTCCGACAGATTATTGGTACATTCCAAAGATTTTTATTTATACTTTCCTAATTGTAAATAAAATTTTATTATAAAATATTTCAGAAAATCTAAATATAACAAATAACTTAAAATCATAATCAGTAAGCAATATGTATTTTTATCATCCAAAAACACAAGATCACGAAATATGAAAATTTTAGTTCGACATTCAATGTTAAAAATTTTCTCCTGAATGTTAAACAACAATCTACTTTAAACTGGTTGGCAATAAAAAAAAAGATTTCAGATGAGATCATTTTGTATTACGATTGATGTCTAAGACAAATGTACAGAGAATCAAATAAAATTGATTCGTAATGTAGTAAACATTCGATTGAACATGCGCGGTCTCAAGTGATCATTTATTATTTGTTTTTTTTTTATGAATAGTCTTCGATTTGTTAAGGATGGTATTTTAACAAAAAACAAATAGTTTTGAATCAGTATCATAAAAATTGTTCCATTGACTTTTAAAAATTTGAAATAATGACCTAATTTTCAAACCGAAATAGTAATAGAAATATGTAACTATGCACAAGAGACACAGATATTGAAAATCGTCTGGAAATTGTTTTTAATGAATATTCATAGAGACTAAAAATGCAACTATGTTTTCATGGCTTACACTAAATCTTAGATTCAAATTTAAAGAGTTGTCATACTGTCTGAAATATAAGGATATTTTCTGAATTTTGAGTATTTTTCTTAACATTTTGTGATATTCTGATTTTCTTCAGAATTCTAAACTCTTTTAGATTAGGAACATAAATTTATTGTTATTGTTACCCTAGTGAATGTACTAAGTGAAGGCTACCCAAAAAACAGTACCCTGCTATTAGTATGTCACAAGATCTGTTGAGTACTAAAGTACAGTCAATTTCCGTAATTCTATCGGAAAAATTTTACCATTTTTTGTTTCAACTACCATTCAACTATTTTACATCAGATCAAAAATATTTTTAGATATAGGTAATCTCGGAATTCTCTTCTTTCCAACAATATATATTGTTCGCCTTTTATTTCACACCTTTTCATAGAAAAATCACTGGCCTACAAAAAGCAGTTGCACCAGACAGAATTAGGCAGTAGTTCCCTAATTCTGATGCTCCTAACAAATTACATAGAAAAATTCAACTTTACGAAAAAAAATGTTTTTACCGTGTTTTTTATAAGAAATGGGTGTGGTTGTGATTCATCTTTCAGTGCATACACACATCCACACCCCAAGATAGTGTATCACAGTACTCAATTGAGTATCTGATCAGTATCTTCTCGTACCTACTAACTAAACATTTTGTTGTAGGCTTACTTTTCGATTGCCCTTAACTTAGTGTATCCTTTAGGGTTGGTATGTGATTAAAAGCTAGTTTTTCATCATTTTGGTATATTTGAGTACTAACAATATCATATTTATGAATAATAAGCTTTAATGAAGAATTCCTGATTGATTGAACACTTGCTATTTTCTTTGTTTAAAAAAGAGATCTTAAAAACATCATATATTGATATTACTGCCTATTCGTATAATTCATTTTAGAAGTTTATATTGTATCATGTATCCATGAAAAAGTAAATTTTTATTAAAATAAAAAATTAAGTCCAAGAAGAAACTGTTAATAGAAAATGTTAGTTTATATTGAACAGAAGAACACACTTGCTTAAGGAAAATTTTTATCCTATATACAATAGTGTAATATACAACACGTCACCAGTAGTTTATGGATGTAGTCTAAAAACTGGGTGTAGGGTGTCGGTGCGAGTGTAAGTATAGAGAAAATGAATACTAACACCCACCCACACCCTCGACAAGGTATAGTTCTATGATCAAGTCATGCGGCTGTTTTAACTACATGCTTTATGTGTAGATAGTAATCAACCAATCTATTGGACTGAGTATCATATTGACGGTATCAAATATGAACACCAATGGACAAGACGTTACTTGACAAAATCGAAATGATCGTAGATTGTATTATTATACAATTGTGATTATGTTAGAAAGGCATAATTGAATCCTGTATACATGAAGTAAGACAACAGTGAATCAGGGAAATGGAGGAGTAATGAGAATAAATGACACTAATGAAAGCAATCAAGATGATTGATCAGCTTGGTTGTTCAACTTTCAAATGAATGAAACATACGCGAAAAGACCTTGCAAACGTCAGTAGTCAAGCAAAAGGTGACGGTCTAACGTAGTTACCATACTCTTGTGACTTGAGGATTGATTAATTGAGCACTGTCTTTGTGACAGATTGCATATAATCATTGACAATATATTGACAAGGCAGTGTTTATGGAGAATGAAGAATGAACCACATGAATAGATTTTTGGAACAGATAAACATATAGGAGGTTGCTTTAATTCTTCTCCAATTATATATGTCGAATAAAGATGAGAGTAATATATTCAGCTGAGTTAAATAGAATTAATCATGAATTAACAAGCTTAACATTGATAGAAGAAGATATTCAAGAATTAGCTCGAGAATAAGGATGGTATATGCATCCTCACTATCGAGGTAGTAAAACACAGGCATAAAAATCAATTAAAAGCAGCGTTATTTTGATTAAAATAAAGTGTGTTAATAAAGAAAATTTGTCATATATCAAATATTTTCATGAAAATTTATTTGCTTTAATTGCCATTGAGTTCATCAATTTGTTCCAGACTATAATCAACAGTGTCTGATGGTCTGATAAAAGCACTAAAGTGTTGTTCTAATGTCTGTTCGAGATCGACTAAAAAGAAACAAATCGTTCGAGTATTTCCCATTATTTCACTCAGTTCAAAGAAGAAGCACTTCTTGCTTATTTCTATTGACAGAAATGTAAAACTATCTACTCACATTCTTTGCTCAGAAGGTCCAATTCTTCGTGCATTTCAATAATACGGTCTTGATCGTTGAATAATACAATTTTGAATAATTTTTTGTAATATATTATCGCTTTTTCAGTTTCACGATTACTTTCAAGTTCGTGTCCACGAGCTAACAAATGTTTTGGATCACGAATGGTACCCGCAAATGGTCGCGCAATCTCGTCTAAAGTTTCCCTTAGCTTCTCTTTTATCATTAACTGAATTTTAACAGATCAGTGAGTCGTTTTTGATTTCTCAACTGAGAGTATGCCGAAAGAACTATTCCAGAAAAACAATGTTTCACGTGAGTCATCCGTGCTTGACGAGCTCGAAACATCAACAAAAGGTATAGCAGCTTGATTGGCAGTGTCGAGATCGACAATCTCAATCAATATATCATTTTTACCGTCTGAAATACAATTATAAAGTAAGAAAGTTGTCGAGTGAGGGTTATGGAAAGAGAGAATATCGCCGACATTTCTAATAAATGTATCAACGCCAATCAAGTCTGAGACATTGAGATAAGGATATACAACTTGAATGAGAGATCTTAGTTGGATTTGATTACGATATAATGATGCCAAATGATAATGAAGATCCACAATAAGAAAACGTAGATCGAATATATCGTCCATATTTCCCATCTGAAACGCTTTGTTGAACAGGCTGTATATATGCGGTATTTTGGTGCACCACCAGACTGCATCAGCCGAAGGGTATTTCCGACGAAAATTAATAATTTCTCTTTGTGCCAAAGGATCATTCGAATATAAATCTATAAATCTCGATATTGTTTTATCAATTTCTCGTTCTGACGGCCGGACAAAATTAAGAATGACGTTGACTAAAAGTTGATTCCACAAGAAACTGACCTCTTCTTTACTTACTGAGTCTGGATGATATGTGTCAATTGACAGTGCATTTCTTTCAGATCTTAAAGATTCAGTTGATGAGGAAACAGAATTGCAACATCCTGTTGCTAATAAATTCTGTTTTAAGTCATCAAAAATGGCATTGATTTTTGGTAATTCAGATCTCAAGTAACGTGATACTGTCTGATTATTAAATGACTGGCACGAAATGAGGAATACCTTTTCAAAGGATAGACGTTTAATCTTCTTTATTGCACGATTTGGATCTGAATAAGTTTTCAGCAGTACACCACACTGTTGTAGTTCACATTTAATTAACGGGAGACGTAAAGGAATCTTTGGATGAGATAACACAATTAGATTTTTACGATTGTTTGATGCATAGATGCGAAAGAATCATATACAATTGATCATTTCAGGTAAACAGACAATAGATTTTTAGTAGCATAGACCTTATATGTAAGTTCAGTCGAAAACAAATTTTATGCTCGCATTGATGAGTTAGTTCAACATTTGAAATGTTTTTTCTTCAGACGAAAGACGAGAATGAATGACGTTTTTATAATTAATTAGTTTGATTTTCAGTTAGACACTCTTATAACATAAGATGTCTTGTGTATCGTTGTTTTGTTTACTAAAGAACCTCTGTCAGTTTAATATGAATAGTCATGCTTTCATTCTATGTATATAATTAAGTGGATTTAGTATTTCGGGGTGTGGATGTGAGTGTGGATGAATAGGTGACTACTACGTACACCTATATAAAAATGATATTAGAAAAACATCACGTAAATATAATTTTATTCTATTTTTCAACCTTTTAATTTCATTAATTTTATATCAATATAGAGAATCAAGTACCAAACATATAGAAAGCGAAATGAAAAGAAAAACTTTGCTTAATAGTGAACAGCAAGGTTAGATTATTGTTGATGAATTGCTTTTAGCTTATGAATTTAATATGATTCGTATGTTTCTACTTCATCTTGTGATG